GGCGTGGACAAGAAGACACCGAGCCGTTGTGGTGAACTCCCGAACACGGCTCTCAGCGACACCGTTCTGCTGTGGGGAGTGAGGGAGGGTGTAAGTCTAAAGAATGCCGCGGGACTGGCAATAGGAGGAGATCTGGTTATTAAGGAACTCACCACCACCATCAGAGTGAAGGCGGCGAACAGGGCGCCCAAAGTGGGTGTTTGCCTGTTCAAGCCAAGCAATGATCGCAGTCGGGGCGTCCGCCTTCGTCCGAAGGAGAGAGACGGACGAGTACCGACTGTGATCATCGACGAGCACGAGAAGGTAGCGATGGCCTTGGCGAGTGGGGGAGGGGTTAGGACCCCAGAGGTCCATGTGAACAAGATCAAGTGGCTGGGCAGCAGCGGAGGGGGAGCTCCGGTGCGGCTGCTGTTTGAGCTTGCTCTGAACACAGACGACGCAAGGGGGGGCAGGTGACTTTGGGAGGGGAGGGAGGGAGGAGGGGAGACGGGTGGGTTAGTGGGAGGGAGGGGGGGGGAGGCAACTTGGAAGGTGAGGGGGCGAGGAACCCGAAGGGTGTACACACGGGAGCGAGGACAGTAGGGAATGCGGGAGAGGAAGCGACCTGTGGAGGTTTGGTAAAGGTCACAATGGTTAGCACCACCTGGGGTGACAGTGGTGATCATGGATTGTTGGAGGGACCTTTGGGAGAGGAGGTTGGTGCGAAGGGAGGGAATGTGAAGACCTGTGACAGTACCTGAGGGAAAGAGAGGACAGGGAAGGGTGGAGGTGTTGTGACAGGGGATGGAAAAGCTGCTATTAGCGCCGAGGAGGGACGTGGGTGTGGGGAGAGGATGGAGTTTGCCGGCATCGCGAAAGACATTGTCAGTGGCTCCACTGTCCAAGACGAACTCAAGGGTGGAGGAGGGTGAGGCGGAGTACAGAATTGAAGTTTCATTAATAGCAGGGGCATACATAGGGGATGCAACAGAAGGAGGCTGACTAAGCAGACCAACAAAGCCAGAGGAGGGAAAGGGGGTCACACTGCCACCTGTAGACGGCGCAGGGGATGGACCAGAGAGGTTTTTCTGCGGAGGCCGCATTCCCGGCAGTCCAGCTGGGAAACGGCTGCTGCTGGGGGACAGGAGGAGGAGGGAGGAGAGGAAGCTGGGGCTGGAGGTCAAGCTGCTGCTGGAGCTGCTGAAGCTGCTGCTGGAGCTGATGAAGCTGCTGCCCGTACTGCTGCGGCCCCTGCTGCTGGACACTCTGGTGCTGCTGCTGCTGCTGGTGGTGGTGGTGGTGAGAGGGGAGAGCAAAGGCCTGGTGGGCCTGGGAGGAGGAGGAAGGGGCGTAAAGGGTAGAGGTGCGGACATCCAGGGGAGTGGGGCCGGGGTTGAGGGCGGACCAGCGAGGAGGGGTGCCAGAGTTCCCACGCGCAAACCACTCATCACTAAGTGCCTTGAAGCACGTCTCAGTCGCATGAGTGGTTTGGTTGCAGCGTTGGCCCCGGGTGGGGCCATAGAGGGGAAGATAGTGACAGGGTGGGAAGGCCGCTGCTGCACCACGACCCGCACCACCACGACCGCCAGAGCCGCCTCGACCACCACCACGCCCACCTCCACGCCCCCCCCCACGCCCGCCTTTGCTGCTGCGCTGCTGTGCCGCTGCGGCGGTGGAGGAGGAGTGGCGAAGGATTTCAGCTTCAGTGGTGATAATCCATTGGGCAACCTGAGCGGGAGTGTCATGCTTGGAGAGGAGCTGCATGTATGCTAGCTTGTGGGCATCAAAGGCAGGGGTGAGACCCTCGAGGAGGTGGCAGCAAATGACGGTGTCAGGGTAGGTAACACCAAGTGCTGCAAGGCGGCGAGCAAGGTCAAGGACGCGGCGAGTGAAGGCGGCTGCGCCGGCGGTGGAATCCATGGTGATGGATCCGAATTCCTTGATGAGGGCATAGAGGGTGGCGATGTCCTGCCTGTCAAAGAGGTCGACAAGTAGTTGCCACAGGTGGGAGGAGGAGGAGGGTGAAAGCTCTCGCTTGAGGGAGGAGGGGATAGTGGCGAGGAGGATGGCGAGAGCTCGACGATCAGCAATGCGCCACGCAGCGATGTCGGTGGTGTAGGTGGCGAGGCGTGTGGTATACGTGGTGAGGCGGGCTTGGTATTCGCGGTGGCGGGCAGCAGCTTCGTCATAGGTGCGCTTGTCGTCCTCATAGCGTAGTTGACGGCGAAGGTGGTCGTTGAGTGTGGTGCGGTAGGCACGGATGGCAGCTTCCACGCTTTGTGGGTTGTGGACATCCGGCGCGAAGGAGGATCACCAGGAGGCTCGGGCTCAGGTCCGGGCTCGTCGGGAGCAGGTCCGCTGGGGGCGAAAGGGGCGATGGGCTGGAGTCCACCCTCCTCCTGGAACACGACGGAACGAAGGGTATATCCATTGACAACAACTGAGGAGAGCAACACCTCGACGGAGTGGGCATAAGAGTGCCAGTTGGCGGCCGAGTTGTCGCCCAACAACTCGAGAGAGTCAATGGTCGCCAAGTCGACCGATGAGTCCGCCGACGCCATGATGACGAAGCAGTAAAGGTGCCGCTGCTGGTGCCGTTGACGGTGCCGCTGCTGGTGCCGTTGAAGGTGCCGCTGCTAGTGCCGTTGAAGGTGCCGCTGCTGGTGCCGTTGACGATGCCGCTGCTGGTGCCGTTGAAGGTGCCGCTGCTGGTGCTGTTGACGGTGCCGCTGCTGGTGCCGTTGAAGGTGCCGCTGCTGGTGCCGTTGACGGTGCCGCTGCTGGTGCCGTTGAAGGTGCCGCTGCTGGTGCCGTTGAAGGTGCCGCTGCTGGTGCCGTTGACGGTGCCGCTGCTGGTGCCGTTGAAGGTGCCGCTGCTGGTGCTGTTGACGGTGCCGCTGCTGGTGCCGTTGAAGGTGGAGTAGGGGGAGGGAGGTTGGCGTGGAAGTGTAGGGCAGGGCGCGGGTGAAGGAGGAGGTCGTGGTGATCGCGGGCAGCCGTCCGCGAGGGCGCGCAGGTCAGCCGCGACTCTGCGCTGGCCATCCGCGTCGACGCGCAGGTCGGTCGCGGCTCCGCGCTGTCCGTCCGCGTCGGCGCGCGGGTCGTCCGCGGCCGCGCACTGGCCGTCCGCCTCGGCGCGCGGGTCGTCGGCGGTTGCGTGCTGGCCGTCCACGTCAGCGCGCGGGTCGTTGGCGGTCGCGCGCTGGCCGTCCGCGTCGACGCACGGGTCGTCGGCGGTCGTGCGCTGGCCGTCCGCGTCGGCGCGTAGGTCGTCAGCGACCGCGCACTGTCCGTCCGTGGCGGCGCGCAGGTCGTCCGCGTCGCCGCGCTGGTCGTCCGCGTCGCCGCGCTGGTCATCCGCGTCGGCGCGCAGGTCGGTCGTGTCGGCGGGCAGGTTGAGGCGTGGCGGCGGGAGGGAGGGTTGCTGCCACGTGGGAGCGGTTTGAGGCCGCGTAAGGACGGTTTGAGACCGTGAGAGGGAGGAATGAGGCCGCGGGAGGGAGGATTGAGGCCGCGGGAGGGAGGATTGAGGCCGCGGAGGAGTAGATCTAGGCCGCGGAAGGCTAAATCTGAGGTGCGGGAGGGCGGAACTGAGCCGCGGGAGGCTAGATCTAAGGTGCGGGTGGACCGATGTAGGTCAAGTCCGCTAGGGTAAAAGAGCGGAGAGGAAATTACAGCCTAAGGGTCGAGGGAAGGTGGCGTGAGCCATTTGGCTCTGATACCATGTTAGAATTCAAGAATATTTTAGTAATGAGCCAAGGAGGCTCTATAGTACAAGCATGCAAGGAAGAGAGGAGTGGAGGAGGAGCTACCCCTATTGGCCACTAAGTTGGCCAATGGGTGAGGTGCCTTGTGGAGTAGAAAACCCCACAATGTAGCTAGGTTGTGATTGGTTGGTGTTAGGTCCAAAAGTTGGCAAGTGCCAACCAAGGACCAAGACCAAATCCAATCTTGACCAACCACAAAGTGTGGTTGGAGTGTACACCCAACCCCCCAAGAACATAAGAGACTACACCTATTCTAGCCTATGAATGTTGTATATAATGTACATTTACAACACCTTTCCCTCCCCCTTTCCCTCCCCCTTTCCCTCCCCAACTCTCTGCGCTGGCAGCAAGATAGCGGTGGGCCTCGGAGGACCTGCCGTGTTCATACGACGACTGTGGAAACCTCCCCCCCCTCTCTCCCCCTCCTCTCCCTCCCCCACCTCTCCCTTCCCCCCCTCCTCCCCCGTCCTCTCCCTGCCCCCACCTGGCGTGCACAGCAAGATAGCGGTGGGTGTGTTCGGGGAGGCCCCGGAGGACCTGCCGTGTTCGTACGACGACTATGGCAACCTCGTGCCCAACGTGCTGCTGCAGCTGCAGGCGCTGCTCATCCACAAGGGCGGGCTGCAGGTGAGAGCAGGGAGAGAGGTGGGGATGCGAGTCTGCGGTGGTGGGAGTGGGTGAGGGAGGCGAGTGAGGGTTGCCGCAGGTGGGGGCTGATGGGTGCGGGGTTTGATGGGTGCGGGGGTTGATGGGTGCGGGGGTTGATGGGTGCGGGGTTTGATGGGTGCAGGGTTTGATGGGTGCGGGGTTTGATGGGTGCGGGGTTTGATGGGTGTTGGGGTTGATGGGTGTGGGGGTTGATGGGTTTGGGGGTTGATGGGTGCGGGGGTTGATGGGTTTGGGGGTTGATGGGTGCGGGGTTTGATGGGTGTGGGGGTTGATGGGTTTGGGGGTTGATGGGTGTGGGGGTTGATGGGTGTGGGGGTTGATGGGTGTGGGGGTTGATGGGTGTGGGGGTTGATGGGTGTAGGGGTTGATGGGTGTGGGGGTTGATGGGTGAGCGGTTGATACTGACGTGGAGGGTATGCTTAGGGTGTGAGTGGACGCGGGCAGGGAGGAGGCAGCCAAGGCAACAGTAGAAGGGCCGATGCTTCGCACGCCCACTCCCATTCTCCCCACCTTTGACTCTCCATGTTTTCTACATCCCTCTTGGCAAACCACCCCCACTCCCCCCTCGCCGCGCCCATCAGATGGATGGCATATTCAGGGTGGGAGTGGAGGCGGTCAGAGAGGAGGCAGTTAAGGCAGCAGAGAGGGGGGTCCATCCATGCTTCCCCTCTTCACACCCCCTCTTCCCCGCCCTGTGTCGCTCCATCGTTTCTACGTCCCTCGTGGCAATCCACCCCACTTCGCTTTCAGACGGAGGGCATATTCAAGGTGGGAGTGGACGCGGGCAGGGAGGAGGCAGCCAAGGCAGCTGTGAATGCGGGGCAGATCCCGCCCTCCACTGATGTGCACTGCCTTGCAGCGCTTATCAAGGTGAGGGGAGGCTCTTATCAAGGTGAGCGGCAGCGCTTATCAAGGTGGCATGGCATGTGTGGTGTGCAGTTACAGCAGCATGTGTGTCGCATAGTGGCAGTGAGTGAGAGCAGCAGCAGTCAGGGCGTGGCAGGTGCTATGCTGCCACATTCACATCCACCACCACCACCACCACCACCACCACCACCACCACCACCACCACCACCACCACCACCACCACCACCACCACCACCACCACCACCACGCACTGCCTGCCCGCCTGCCTGCCTGCCTGCATGCCTGCGCACCCGCCCGCCCCCCGCGTGCGTGCGTGCGTGCCTGCCTGCCCGCCGGCGCTGGTCACATCAACACAGGGCCGTCTGCTACCTCTGTGCTGGTGTTACTTTTGAGAGATCTCAAATGCAACACCGAGAATTCTCAAAAGTAGTCACATCAACACATGGCCGTCTGCTGCCTCTGTGGGGAAAGACGAGCTCGGTGTGAGACGCTTTTGAAAGAAGGAATTGGATTCTTGAAGGAAAAAGAGAGTACAAGCTGAATAGAGAGAGCCGGTCAGAAGGCCCGTCGCGACAGGAGAGGGTGGCACTGGAGAGGGTGGCACTGGAGAGGGTGGCACTGGAGAGGGTGGCACTGGAGAGGGTGGCACTGGAGAGAGAGGTGCTGAAAGGGCTCATTTCATCGCCCTCCTCTTCCTTTTGAGTCATTGAGTGCTTGCAGGGCAATCCAGGCTGTCTTCATCGCCCTCCTCCTCCTCCACCTCTTCTCCTCTTCTCTCTTCCCCACCTCCTGTCCTCCCTCCTTTCCCCACCTCCCCTCCCCCTTCCGCCCTCCACTCTCCAGGCCTGGTTCCGGGAGCTCCCAGACGGTCTCTTGGACGCGCTGCCGCTCTCGCTGCTTGCCTCGGCAGCGGACCCGCACAGCGAGGAGGGCGGCATGGCGGACGTGCTGGGAGTGCTGCCGCCCGCCTGCAGCTGCCTGCTGGACTGGCTGCTCAATCTGCTCGTGGATGTGGTGGAGTGCCACCACTGCAACCACATGGGCGCCAGGGCGCTCGCCCTCGTGTTCGCACCAAACCTCGTACAGGTAGGTGTGTGCCTGCTCTGCCTGCCCTGCATGTGGCTGCCTGCTGGACTGGCTGCTCAATCTGCTCGTGGACGTGGTGGAGTGCCACCACCGCAACCACATGGGCGCCCGGGCACTGGCGCTGGTGTTAGCGCCCAACCTCGTGCAGGTGGGTGCGCCCAACCTCGTGCAGGTGGGTGGGTGTGAGCCCGCTCTGCCGGCCCTGCTTGCTGCTCCCTTCTTGCTCTTTCCCGCGCAAATTTACTGTTTCTTTCCCGCTTGTTTACTGTTTCTCTGTCTCCCCCTCCCTGCCGTTTCCCCTCCGCACCCCCTCCCCATCCCCTCCCCACCCTGTCTACCCCCTCCCCTTTCCCCTCCCCACCCTGTCTACCCCCTCCCCATCCCCTCCCCACCCTGTCTACCCCCTCCCCTTTCCCCTCCCCTCCTCACCTCCTCCCCACCAGGTGGGTGACCCCTCTGCCAGTCTCAAGCGCGCCATGCTCCTAATGGGCCTCCTCGAGGCGCTCATCGCGCGCAAGCACCGCCACCCTCGCCCCTTCCCTCTCCTTCTCCCTTGCCCCCCCGGTTTTCTCCCTGCCCTTCCCCCCCCCACATCAGGTTGGCGACCCAGCTGCCAGTCTCAAGCGCGCCATGCTGCTAATGGACCTTCTAGAAGCCCTCATCGCGCGCAAGCACCGCCACCGCCAGCTCTTCGCGCACCACTGGCCGGGCGGGGGCGGCCGCGGGGGCGCGTCAGTGCTGTCAGCATCAGCGTCGGTTATGGACGAATCAGAGGACTGGGAGGACACGGACCTCGATTCCTCGCTCAACTTCTCGCTGCTCTCAGGGGCGCATGGGGGTGTGGGGGGGTTGGGGGCGTTTGGAGGCGCAGCGGGAGCGGAGAGGCTGTTTGGGGCGGGTTTGGTTCGGAGCGGTGCAGGTGGTGGTGGTAGTGGTGGTGGTGGTGGTGCGTCGTTTGGGTCGGCGTCGGTTGTCCATAGCCCGCGCACTGCGCTGATGCTCAGAGCGCTGGCAGCGGCTGGGCTTGGTGTGGGGGGGAGGGCAGTGGGGGCCGGTGCGGGGGGAGGGAGAGTGAGGAATCAGAGTGGGGAGTGGGAGAGTGAGAGTGTGGGAGTGCGGTCGGGGTATTCGTCACCGTCCCCTGCAACGTGGAGGGCCGGGTTTGCTCTGAGGGCAGGGCGGTCGTGGGTTGTGGGCAGCGATGGGGGGGAAGGGCTGGGGTCAATATCTGAGCTGTGCCCCCTAGAGGATGGGGAGGAGGATGGTGAGGGCGATGGGGAGAGGGATGGGGAGGGTGGGCGGATGGAAGGAGGGTTGGAGAGTGAGGGTGTAGAGGGAAGAGAGTGGCTGGGTGGGACGAGAAAGAGTGGGGATGGGATGGGGAGGAATGGGGGGAGAGCGGGTGGAGGGGTGGAGGGAGTGGAGGGACTGGCAGGGGCGGCAGGGGAGGGGCGTGGTGGGGATGGGCGGGGGGATGGACATAGAGGAGAGGCGGGCAGTCGCTTGGCAGAGTGGCTGAGGAATATTGATGAGGCCGTGGGGGAGGGGGAAGGGGAAGAGGCAGTGGGGGAGGGGGAAGAGGGTGGAGCGGAGGGGGAGGGGGGAGGGGAAGAACCGGAGGGGGAAGGGGAAGGGGACGACAAGGAGGGGGAGGGGGAAGGGGACGATGAAGCGGAGGGGAAAGGGGAAGGGGAAGTAACAGTTGAGGTAGAAGTAGACGAAGGAGAAGCAGGGGAGGAGGACGAGGACTTGGAAACTGCAGGGACAGGCATGGATGAGCGTGAGTGTGTGGAGGAGGAAGAGGCAGAGGCAGCAGCAGAAGCAGCAGTGTCACCAACACTCGCTTGTGACTTGCCGCTTGCAACAGAAGCTGTGTTGCCCCTGCCACAGGGGGCAGATGCATGTAGTTATGATGATAGTGATGGCGATGGTGATGGTGACACTGATTGTGGGGATGGGGCTGTGGATGAGGATGGGGATGGTGATGAGGATGGCGATGGAGGCAGTGGTTGCTGTGATGACGTGAATGATGCAGAAGCGGATGATCACGCCACTGCGTTGCCTCCAGATGGCCTTGCCAACACTGACAGCATCGCCGCTGCTGTTGACGATTTAAATTCCGAAGCAGAGTTTGATGCCGAGGTTGATGGTGATGGTGATGGTGATGATGGTGATGGTGGTGATGGTTGCGAGAACGTACATGATGCTGATGCTCACAGTCACGGCACTCATCCTGCCAGTGCCGCCACCACTGCTTCTCACGAGGCCTCGATGCAAAAGCAGGTTTCGGTTTCCGACTCCCCTTCGGACGCTCCTCACCAGCTCTCTTCTTCCCAACCTCCATTTCCTCCCTCCACTCTTCCACCTGCCACCCCGGCTGCCTCGCTCCTGCCTGCCACGGACCTCTCTGCTCCACCCGCTACTGCAGACACCACGCAGAGTGCTGCTGCACCTGCCGCTGCCTCTTCTCCCCTCTTTGCCAGCATGCTCCTCGTACTCGCTGCCATGCACACTGCCCGTCCCCTGCACCCCGCCCCACCAGCCTTAACACCTCTTGTCCCCACTCCCGCCGCTTCTGCTGCCGCTGCCGTAGACCCTGCAGCGCCATCCCAAGGCCCCATGGACCGTACTTTTGAGCTCTCTCTGCCCCACCCCCTCTGCGCGCCCCCCCCTCCCGCTCCGGCTGTACTAGAGCCAGGCCGGGTTCTTGTGCCTCCTGCCAGACGCAGCAGAGCACCTGCTGCTGCGAGCACTGCTGCTGTCGCCGCTGCTGCTGTCGCCCCTGCTGCTGCCGGTGCTGCTGCCACCGCTGTTGCTGGTGGTGCTGCTGCTGGCGCTGCTGCTGACACTGCAGTTGATGCTGCTGGCAGTGCGGGGCAAGAGGAGGGGAGTGGGCGGGGAAAGAGAGGCTTGACGAAGATGGGTGCAGGGCGAGGGAAGGGCACAGCAGCAGCAGGAAGGGCGGGAGCAAAGGGCGCTCTAGAGGGAGTGAGCGAGGGGAAGAAGGTGGGTGGAGAGGGATTGACGAAGGCAAAGGGCAGAGGGAGAGGCAGTGGAGGGGTGGCAGGTGCCGGGACGAAGAGGAGGACGAGTAGTGCTAGCAAGGCAGAGGGGTCAGGGGCGGAGGGGGATGTTGGGGTGGTGGAGGAGCAAGAGGCGGAGGATAGGGCCTGCCTGGTCGAACTGCTGGCAGATGAGGGGCGGAGACACGGTGAGCAAGAGGCAACGGTTAAGGATGGAGCAACAGCAGCAGCAGAAGCAGACAAGGTAGTGGCTGCAGTAGGCAAGAGGACAGCAGCTGGCAAGGCAGCAACAGGCAAAGCAGCGGCAGCAGGCAAGGTAGCGGCAGCAGGCAAGGCAGCAGCAGCAGGAAAGGCAGGGAAGAAGGTGGTGAGCAAGGGGAAGGGCAAGGCTGCCAAGGTTGCTGACAGGGCGAGAGCGGAGGCGGAGGCAAGGCGGGGCTCAGAGGGGATGAGGGCAGGCGAGGGTGAGAGCAGCAGCGCAGTGGTGGCAGCGGGTGGGGGCACGGGGGTAGTGGCAGGTGGTGGTGGGGCGAGCAAGGGAGGGAAGGTGAAGAAGAGTGCAAGGAAGGCAGTGGCGGAGATAGAAGAGATAGAGGAGATCGAGGTGGTGGTGGAGGAGGGACGGGTGAAGAAACACGGGCAACCCAAGCGTGCCACCGCCGCCACCGCTGCTGCTGCGGGTGCTGCTGCTCCCAAGCCTCGCAAGCGTCGTGAGGCAGCAGCAGGAGCAGTTAGTAGCGGTGGTGATGGCACTGGCAGCACTGTTGCCCGCAGGGAGGTGGCATCTGGGCAGGCCGTGTCTGAGAGGAGCGGCAGGGAGGCAGCGGGGGGAAAGGGGAAGGGGAGGGTTGGCGAGACGGGGGCGAGTGGCAACGGTGGTGGCGGCACAGGCAGCGCCGTGAGGCTGTCTGGTGGAGGGGTGGAGGGACGAGCAGCGAGGGGTGGTGGGTCAGCGAGGGGTGGTGGGGGCGCAAGAGCAGCAGGGAGGGAGGCGGCAATGAGGGAGGCGTTGGGAAGGGAGTTGGCGTGGATGCAGCGAGTGAGGGAGATGCAGGGCGGGGAGTGGGGCGAGCGCTGGCAGCGGTGGCTGCAGGAGAGCGAGGAGAGTAGGAGCGAGGGGGGGAGCAGGAGGGGGGGTGTGAGGGAGGGCGTGCATGTGTTTGGGGAGGGGACTGCGGTGCGGGAGAGGATTAGTGAGTGGGAGCGGGCTCTTGCACTTGCCCGCGCTGCTGTTGACGCGGAGGGGAGGGTAGTGGGGGAGGCGGGAGGCGGAGGAGAAGCAGGAGTGGGGGAGGGAGGTAGGGGAGACGTGGGGAGTGGTGGGAGGCGGGGTGGGAGTGGACATGGGAAGCGGCACGAGGTTGGGGAGGAGAAAGGCGGGGGTGAGAAGGGTGGGGATGGGAGGGGTCGGGGTGAGAAGGGTGGGGATGAGAGGGGAGGGGGTGAGAAGGGGGGGCAGCAGGGGGAGCAAGAGGAGAGCAGTGATTTGTGGCGGTGGAGGAGGGCGTTGGCAGGGCGTGTGGGGGGAGGAGGAGGAGGGGGAGGGGGAGGGGCGGACCGGTTTCAGCCGGCGTGTGTGCTGCCGCCACTCTCCTCTGCCCACCGCTCCCACGGTGCCGCTGCCGCTGCTGCCGGCGGGGCACGTTTTGCACCCCATGCTCATGCTCGTGCCTCCCTTGCACACGCACCACCCGACTTCGAGCTTCTAGAAGAAGCAGCAAGGGGTGGGGATGTGCGGCGGCGCTCTGAAAGCACGCCCGGTGGAGGTGATGCACGGATGGTAGAGCAGGCAGGGGAGCACGGCTCTAAGGTGCATCGCCAGGAGCAGAGCAGTAGTGCAGCACCTGACAGTTTGCTCTCTGCCCACCCCCCACCTGGCCATCCACCTGGCCGTTCACCTGAGAATCAGTGTGTGCCGCCCAGTTTGCCGGCTTCAGGTGGTGGAAAGGCAAAGGGGAAGAAAGGGGCGAAGGGAATGGGCAAAGAGAAGGCGGGTTTGGCATTGCAGCAAGGGGCTGGGGATGGAGCCGAGGCGAGTGGAGCAGTGGCGGGGAGTGGGGGCAAGGGAGAGAAGGGGAGGAAGGGGAGAAAGAAGGCGGCAGCAGTGGTGGCGGAGATGAGGAGGAGGAAGGGCGGATGGGGGCCACAGGAAGAGGGGGAGGGAGACTTGGAGGGTGTGGAGAAAGCAGCGGGTTGTGAGGTAGCAGCAGGTGGGGCGGCGGTGGTGGGTGTGGCGGGCAGGAGTGCAGCAGGAGAGGCGCAGGTGGAGGTGAGGCTACAGGCAACCGCTGGGCAACCGAGTGAGAGGGATGAGCAGGAGGGGGAGCAGAGCGAGCAGAGGGAGCAGTTGCAATGCGAGGCTCCAGAGGTGGCTGGGCAGAGGAGCATGGTTGGTGTAGGTGACAAGGATGGCGGCATTGGTGAGGCTAATAACAAAGGCAGGCGGTCAGGGGAGGGCTATGGAGATGGTACAACTGGTGCTGTGGTGGTGAGCCAACAGAGCCAATGGGGGGCCAGCAGAGCCAGCAGCCGCAGCAGCAAGAGCAGGAGCAGCAGCAGCAGCGGCGCCAGCACCCCTGCCCCCACCACTCGCCTCCTCCCGCTCCCGGCACCCAACCCTCTTCATCCCGCCCGTCCCTCCGCCCCCAAGCCCTCTCTGCTCATGCCCGGCCCCTCCTGCATCGCCCCTTCCGCCCGGCCTCACTCCTCTGCTGCCGCTGCTTCCTCTCCTCGCCTGCACAACTCGCCCGCCTCCTCCTCCCTCCCCTCTCCCTCCCTCCCCTCCCCCTCCGCCTCCCACTCCACTCGCCGCCGCCTCTCCTTTCAACTGCCCACCGCTGCCGCTGGGCCCCCACGTTCCTCCATCCCCTCCCTTTCCTCCTCCCTTCTGCACTCCTCCATTTCTTCCCAGTCATCCCACACCCTCACTCCCTCTCACTCTCACACTCCCTCTACCTCCTCACTCATATCCTTCGCCTCTCCTCTCCCCTCCTCCACTCTCTCTCACCCCTCTTCTAGCCCCTCTGCTGACGCCTCTCTCTCCCACCTCCCTCCCCGTCCTTCCTCGCACCGCCCTCCCCCCATCCTCCCCCCTTCCCGCCGCCACCCCTCCACCCTCCTCAACAATCTCACCCCTTCCTCCTCCCACTCCTCCCCCCAGCCAACCTCCTCGTCCCTCTCCTCCCCCCACCTGCCCTCCTCCGTTTTCTCCCCCCACTCGCCCACCACTTCAGACTGCCCTGCCTCTCAGCTCGTCCCCCCACCCTCTCAGCACCCCCCGCCCTCTCAGCACCCCCCGCCCTCTCAAAGCGTCCCCCCACCATCTCTACCTCCCCGCAAGCACCCCTTCGCCCTCAGCGGCAGCAGCAGGGCGCTGGTGAGAGTGCCGTCTCCAGCCAAGGAGGCTTGCGAAGCGAGTCAACAGCAGCAGCAGCACACCCCAGTCACCAGCAGCAGTGCCCTTGTTGCACCTTTCCCTAACCCCGCCCTTCCTGCAGCAGCCTCGCCTACCAGAGAAACACCTGTCCCCTGCCCTTCCTCCCACGCAGCAGCTCCCTCTGCTGCCATGAAGCCACCTTCACCAGGTAGAGCCTCCCCTTTGGGTTCTCCTGCCAGGCACTCCGTGCAAGTCAATAGGCTCAGCCAGATGCCACCTTCACCAGATAGCCCCTCTCAACACAGAGCACCCCCTCGAGCTGCATTTGGCTCCCCTGCTTCTGCCGCTCCCCCTCATTCGCCCTCCTGTCATCGCACCGTTCTGCACTCCCCGAGACCGCACTCCCCCTTGGCCGCACCTGCCTCCCCTCCTCGTGCTCACCTGCATTTGCCTCTGCCCGCCTCAACCTCCCTGCCGCCTGCACCCGCCTCACCTGCACCGGCCTCACCTGGTGCTACGAGCCATGCTGCATTGCCGGCCATGCAGGGCGCTGCTACCCTGCCTGCTAGCAGACAGGGAGAGGGCGCTTCGGAGGCGACTGCAATTCCTCTCCACATGCACCTGTCTCAGGGATATTCCCACCGCTCCCCACCTCCTCACGCTTTTGCCGGGGAAATGTTGATGGCCAATGGAGGCTCGTCGCGGGTTTCATCGTTCCGTGACCGCGTTACATCTCCAAGAGGCGTTTCATCTCACAGTGGCGTTGCATCTCCTCAAAGTTCCCGTGCACTGAACGAGGGTAGGGGGTCATTTCCACCAAGATACCTCTCATGCCCTCATAGCCGCGTTTCACCTCCTGATGCATCCGTTTCAACTTTGGATGCACCCATTTCACCTCCGAACTATAACAGATTATCTTGTCCCAGTCCTGTGTTGGGCTCTCAAAGAAGCATCCCCATCACGGCACACTCTAACACCTCACTCGCTAACCTCCATACTAGTGCATCCGCACATAGTCACAAGCAGCTCAGTGGCTCTTCTTCCCGCGCCTCCCCCCATCCATTGTCTTCTTCCCTCGCCTCCCCCCATCCATTGTCTTCTTCCCTCGCCTCCCCCCATCCATTGTCTTCTTCCCTCGCCTCCCCCCATCCATTGTCTTCTTCCTCTCGTCCAAAATGCCACTCCCCACCACCTGCCAACCCTCCACCTCCCTCCCACCTGCATCGAGCACTATCAGTGTCCTCCCCAAGCCATCCCTCCCTCCCACTGCCCTCCTCCTCCCCCCTGCATCCTTCCAACTCGAGTCTTGCTTCTCCAAGACAGCCCCCTGCCTCATCCCCAAACCCCCCCTCGCGCCCCTCTCTTCAGAAACAGCACTCCTTCCCTCCCTCCTCCACTGCCCACGCACGCCCGTCCGCGCCTCTCCCTCCTCCCCTTCCTGCAGAGCCCTGTCCTCGCCCCCGAAGCTTCCACCGTTCCGACTGCCTTACCACCCTCTCCTCCTCTCCTCGCCTCGCACCCTCTCTTTCTCGAGCCTCTCGCTCCTCCACGTCCTCTCGCTCCTCTGCCTCTCATGCTTCCTCCCCCCATGCGTCCTCCCCTCATGCTTCCTCCCCCCATGCTTCCTCCCCTCATGCTTCCTCCTCGCGTGCTTCTTACTCTCATGCTTCCTCCCCTCGCGCTTCCTCCTCTCATGCTTCATCCCCTCATGCTTCCTCCTCTCATGCTTCCTCCTCTCATGCTTCCTCCTCTCATGCTTCCTCCTCTCATGCTTCCTCCTCTCATGCTTCCTCCTCTCATGCTTCCTCCTCTCATCCTTCCTCAGATCATCCTTCCTCCTCCCCTTCCTCACCTCCCTCTCGCACATCCACCTCTCTCTCCTCCCTGCCCTCCCTCCCATCCTTTAATTCCAATAGCACACAACCGATGCAACCACCACAGCAGCTGCATCAACCACCACAGCGGCAGCAGCAGCAGCAGCAGCAGCAGCAGCAGCAGCAGCAGCAGCAGCAGCAGCATGAGAATGGGGTAATTGGTGGGCGGGGCCCAGTGGTTCAGACGGGGGGAGAGGGAGAAGGAGAAGCAAGGAGTGAGGTGGAGAGGGGGTTGTCGCGACGCAGAGGTTCAAGCAGCAGCAGTGAGACTGAGAGGTGTCGTAAGGAAGGGCGAGGGAAGGGGGCAGGGAAGAGCAGCTGCGCAGAGAGCGCCGGTGGGGGAAGCTTTGGTGCGGTAGGAGGTGGTTCGGTAGGAGGTGGTTCGGTAGGAGATGGAAGAGACACGGGAGGGGCCAGAGTCAGAAGGAGGCGGCCGGATGAGGAGGAGAGCAGCAGCAGCTGCAGCAGTCGAAACGCGGTGATCAAGGGGGGAAGGAGAGGGGTGCGCGGAATTGAGGTGGGGGAGAAGGCAAGGCACAGGAGAGGCAACGCCAGGACAGAGGGGGATGAGGAGGAGCAGATGGGTAGAGGCAAGCCATGGCGCCGAGCTGCTGGCAGGGTGAGGGCTGATGAGGCTGGGGACGGAGGAGAGGGGCAGATTACAGCTGTGGAAGAGACGGAGACACATGGCTATGGGGCGAATGATGGGGTGGAAGAAAATGGAAGAGGGAATGGAGGGGGAGCAGGGAAGCGAGAGAACCAGGGGAGTGATGGGAAAGGGGTGAATAGGGGGAATGGAGGGGATGGTTGGTGTGCGACTTCCAGCAGTAGGAGGCACTTGCAGGACGTGGAGAGCGCACAGCAGATCACAGGCGTTGAGCAGAATGCTTGTGAAGCCTCTGATGCACGGATCACAAGTGACACATGTATGACTGGTGTGGATGGAATGGAGGGTGCGGGGATGAAAGGCGGTGAGAGGAGAGGCAGTGGGAGGAGAAGCGGTGCAGGTGAAGTGGAGAGTGGGGAGATACAGCATTGGCATGCCAGTAGTGCAGGGCATGGCAGTGCAGGGCATGGCAGTGCAGGGCATGGTAGTGCAGGGCATGGCAGTGCAGGGCATGGTAGTGCAGGGCATGGCAGTGCAGGGAGCATGGTGAGGCATGAAGGCGGAGAGAAGGGAGGCACATGGAGCCATGCAATAAGTGCATCGCAGAGAGCCTCCCAGCCCGAAGGTGCGGCTTGCCAGCCACAGGATGGGTGTGCCTCGACTTACTGCAACTCTGTTGACTTATTCGACTCGCCTCACTCCTCTGGCCCGTCTGAACCAACTGACTCCCAGACAGTACCCCCAGTGGCTGGGTGGCCTCTGGGCCTTGCCTCGCACCCACCAAGGCACCCAGAGCGGAGGTAACAGGGGAATCTCTAACAATTAGCACATGATTCATACGATAGACAGCACGTGATGTGGGGTGGTACAGTGGTACTATGAGACCACATCAGCAAAGGCATGGGATTACCGTCTCCCCCCGGATATAAGCGCATGCCTATGATAAGCTCCGGCGGTTATATTACGGTCCTCGATTACTATAAGCGCACCCCTTAAAAAAGTGTTCAAAAACCTGTCAGAAGTTCAACCTAGCAGGGTGACGAAGTATAATTTCAGTTTCCCTCACTCTCATCTCACTTGTTGGGTGTCTAGCAGGGCCTATTTTTGGATTTTAGGTACTCTGATTTCCAGAGTAGTTTTTTTCCCAACTCTGAAATCTAGGGTTGTTCCTGCGCCTTACTCTGATTTGTCAGAGTAACCCTATACTTGCAAAAAAAAAAAACCAGGCACATCAGAGTAATATTTTTTCTCTACTCTGATGTTAGTTAAGTTTGGTGTACCATGACCTTAATAGGTTTTTGTTACGCCTTTTGTACTTGCATTGTGTTTCATTTCCGCGTCGCCCACGTTTCCCCCCTCACTGCGATGTTTCAGAGTGAGGTGTTGGCGGCACCGATAATCTGACTAAGAGCGTGTCTGATCTGAAGTGAAATTTCGACGGATGTACAGTTCCGTCGGGGAATGCTGGCAAATCTCAACCCTCGGACCGACCGTTCCGACCGTCAGGATTCCTCGACGTCCCTCAAAGTTTCGTCGGGAAACGTCGACGTTCACTTCAGACATAAAGAGAGAGGGGACTGGCTGGCATCGTGCGCTGGTTGGGAAAGTTGTCAAACTACTGTAGCCAATCAGCGCTCATATTTCCGCCAACACACGACAGAAATCAGGAGAATGATCTCGACGATTCGAAGAAAAACCGCTAAACGCAGGGGGGGGTGGGGAGGGGAGGGGGGCGGGGGAGGGGGCCGGCAGGTTTTCCTATACAGAGTAAATTCGGTCCCCGAAAAAAAAACCCAGAGGCCTCAGAGTAAACTACAGCATAACTCTGTGAGAAGAAGTGAACGAGAATGAATCAACTATGAATGAAGTCAGTACATATAGGAAACCCTGATTGGGTTGTACCCCCTATGGGATACCCCACATATATAAGCTATAATGTTCTGACACACCCCCACAGGCAAAGTGGGGGAGAACAAGGGGTCACAAGACTAGTCAAGCAAAGCAAAGCAAAGCTCAGGGTGGATCACAAAGTCACCACACATTCCGAGCACAAGTTCAAAGGCCAGAAGGCCAGTTCACATGCGAGATCATATATAGAGATATACAAGAGGCAAGCAAGCAAGAGCAAGAGTATATATAGGTAAAAGTACAAGCAAGGTCAAGAAGTGAGCAAGTGAGGCAAGACACGCACAAGGCCCAGCTGCGTGCAGCAGCGCTTATGATCACAAGGCGCAAGTGCCTTGGTGAAGACATCAGCAGTGTTGGCCTCAGAGGCCACGTACGCAAGTCGCAACTGTCCACGCTGCTGTAGCTCACGAGCAAGAAAGTAGCGAAGAGCAATGTGCTTTGTCCTGTGCTCCAGTCGCTGCTCTCAACACAAAGCCAGCATGGCCTTGTTGCCTACGTACAGGACTGGAGGAGAACGAGGCGGCTCTCCAAGGTCGGTCAGCAGGTAGGTGAGCCAGCGTAACTCCTGGGCAGCCATGGCCCCGGCGTAGATCTCAGCCTCACAACTGGAGCCGAGAACAGAAGACGAGCGAATAGCCCGCCACGAAACAGAGCCGGAACCAAGACTGAAGGTGTAACCCTGTGACGACCGCTGCGTAGCCTGGTCGTCAACCCAAAAAGCGTCCGCGTGCCCAGTGAGGACCACTGGACTCCACCCTCCAAGCACTAGCCCCATGCCCGACGTACTGCACAAGTAGCGCAACACCCTCTTCGCTGCAGCCATGTGCTCTGGTCGGTGTCTCCCAGGAGCAACATAGCGTGCGAGAATGCTCAGAGGGTATGCAAGGTCAGGTCGTGTGCAGGTCATCAGGTACATGAGGCAGCCAACAAGCTCTGCATACGGGCCACTCGACTCTACGGACTCATCCGAAGGCAGAGCTGAGAGCGAGTGGCGAGTAGGCAGAGGAGTGGCCTGAGGCGAGGAGTACGTGAAGCCGAAGCGCTGAAGGACCTGCTGCACCATGTGTGACTGAGTGAGGGTAATGGTGCGGCGTGCTCTGTCCCGGGTGATCTGCAAGCCAAGGTAGCTGCGCAGTTCACCCAGGTCAGTGCACGTGTGTCTCTTCTGCAGCTCGGACTTCACGTAGGCGAGTCCAACAGTGTAAGCTGTGGCAAAGACCAAGTCGTCGACGTACACAAGGATGAAGAACGGCGGCAGAGAGGTGTCGGTGCGCAGAAACAGCAACGGGTCTGCAGTGGAGGGAGCAAACCCAAGTGTCGCCAGCGTAGTTCTCAGTGTGTCGTGCCACTCACGCGGCGCCTGGCGGAGACCGTAGACTAGACGCCGGAGACTCCACTGGGTACCAGAAGGGAAAGACCCTGTGAAGCCAGGTGGGCGGCGCAGCCAGATCTCCTCGTGCACGCTGCCCTGCAAGAAAGCAGTGCTGAAGTCGAGAGAGCGCAGCTCGTAGTCACGGTGAGCAGCAAGGTGCAGCAGTACCCGAAGAGTGGTCATCTTCGGGGTGGGGGAGAAGGTCTGAAAGTAGTCAACTCCCTGCCGCTGACTGAAACCACGAGCCACATACCGCGCCTTGAAGACAGGCGGAGAACCCGGCGGCCGCTTCACCCTGAAAATCCACATGCCACTGACGATGTTCGCCCCAGGAGGCGGAACAGCGTCAACGTAGGTGCCTGTGGACTTCCAGGAAGCCATCTCTGCATCCATAGCTGCCTGCCACTGAGAGGAGTAGGGACCCTCTATCGCCTCCGCGTAAGAGCGCGGAGTCGGGATGTCTAGTGCATCCGGGTCTCCCTCAGGGGCTAGCAGTACAGACGTGAGATGAGGTGAAGCGGCGGCCAGACACTGAAAATCCTCCTGCCTGTCCTCAAGGACGTACGTGCCAAGGGCACACTCACCCCCGACGGACGGAGGACAGGTAGACTCAGACTCAGCGACAAGACCAGCAGTGTAGTCTAGACGACAGCGCGCAGCAAATTCGACGAGCTCAGTGACAAGGGCAGACGCAGCAGAAGACTCGAAAGAAGGGTCAGTGACAGCAGTAGCAAGGAGACGCGTGACAGTAGGACTAGCAGCACGAAGAGAGTCCGACTCCGGGTCGGCAAGAGTAGGAAGAGAGGAAGAAGGAGGAGAAGGCAAAGGGGCACGTAGAGGAGCAGTGGACGGACGCAGAGACATCCGGTGTGTGCCAGGGACAGGAGGCGGACACTGACGCGAACCGCGACCACTAGTGCGCGCAGTACGAACAGGCGACGCAGGACGAGACGCAGGCTCACGACGCTCAGTAAGGCCTCCAGTCGGACCAGCATAGGGAGAAGGAGCAGGCAAAGGGGAGGCAGGCTGTAGCAGTGACTGGACAGGATGTGGACCCTCTAAGGGAGGAGGACCAGGAGAAGGTGGAAGACCAAGAACCTGCTGCAGGAGCGGTACGAAGTACGGTCGGGGCCGCGTGGCGACGCCACAAACAGCAGGGACAGCACCAGTACCCCCAGCAGGAGTACCCGCTCCAGCAGCACCTCCAATAGCTTCAGAACCCCCAGCAGCGCCTCCACTAGCCCCAGAAACTCCAGCACCAGCAGCACGCCTCCAGCGCCGAGCAAACCACTCACGCAGCTCCTGTGAGGAGAGTGGCTCTCGGCGAGACGAAGCACCCAGAGAACCTCCAGGCGAAGAACCTCCAGGCTCAGCACCCCCATGCACAGCACCCTCAGACTCAGCACCCCCAGACTCAGCACCCCCAGGCTCAGCACCCCTAGGCTCAGCACCCCCAGGCTCAGCACCCCCAGGCCCCGCACCCCCAGGCTCAGCACCCCCAGGCACAGCACCCCCAGGCTCAGCTCCCGCAGCAGCACCAGAGTCACCAGTGACCTCGACAGGCTCAACCGCATCTACCTGGGACACACCTGAAGGGGCAGGACCCTGAGGGGGGAGGGGGTGGACCGGGGGGGGACCTGGTACCAAGAAGAGCGGGGGCGGGGGGAGGGACGGAGTGCGGTAGGGGAAGAGGCGGTAGTAGGGGACCGACTCGTCGAACGTGACATCCTGGGAGGACAGAACACGTCGAGAGGTGGGGTGGTAGAACTGCCACCCAGGGCGTCGGGGGGGAACCCCAGGAAGACGCAGGGAGCAGCGCGAGGGGACAGTTTGTCCGCAGACAAGTCGCGGACAAACGCCCGAGATCCCCAGACCCGGAACGCCGACGCATCGCCAACCTTCCCCGTCCACAGCAGGGCTGGGGAGGTCTCCGGCCTAGAGACCCTAGGGTGGAGGTTGATCTGATGCGCCGCGTACCTAACCGCAAACGGCCACAGAAAATGGGGGGCAGCCGCATGCATCATAGACGTACAAGCGACGTCCATGACCATGCCAATGCGGCGCTCTGCAATCCCATTTGGCTGCGGTGAGTCCGGAAGCGTGAAGGTCTGGCGGATGCCTCGCGCACGACAGTAGGCACTCAGAGGGCCACAGGAAAGTCCGAGCCAAAGCTCTGCCTGAGCTGGAGACGAACTGCGCGGATCCAGTCGATCAGCACCTCAGTGACATCACCCTTGCTGCGCAAGGGTAAGACTGTGGTGTAACGCGAGTAGTCGTCAACCACCAACAGGAAGTAGCGCTCGTGACCGAGTCCACGGACGCGGGCAGGGCCCCACACGTCCATGTGAAGCGTCTGCAACGGAGCCTCTGTCGGAGGAAACTAGGAGGAGTGAGGGGCAGCACGCTGGCGCCCCTCGACACAGGGGACACAGGCAGGGCCAGGGCCCTGAGGAAGGGGAGGGAGGGACCGGGGGAGACCAGACACAAGAAGACGGGAGGCCATGCCTCTGAGCCGAAGTAGGGA